GTGAGACTTCCAGGATGGGGTCCCCGTGACCCCGTCTGTGCTTGGCTGGAGACGTTGCAAGAAATGGCGGCTAATCGATGTCTGTGGCGTTCGTGCTCTCAGTTTTCTCCAGATTGATTGAGCGGTTGGAGGTGAAGGCACCTCACAATGCTTGACACAGGCCAGCACTAGGTCCCCTCCCACCCTCATTCTCTTCTTTTCACTGTACGGCTTTTAATGTAATTATAAATATGTATATATAACTAGACGAACCTTATGGTCGTACGGCAGTGAAGCATCAGTGCCAACACTGATGTTGCTGTTTTTGATGATGGTGATGTTTTTGCTGACCAGTACGAAGTTTCAGCATAAGCCTTCGCATCACCTAACCTGATGGCCACCAACTGCAAATCAACCGTGGACGCAGTTGGAGCACGTGGCATCAGCCACCGGTGGAGAGCCACAGTTCCAGACTGACATTCCTTCTGGGGCAAGCAACTTGATTCCGATCACGCCATGGTGCCTGACAGTTCTTTTTTCTTCAGTCACTCACAAGTCAGCAAGAAGCATGCAAATCAGCCATCTTCGAATAACTAAGATAGCTCAACAGTATCGATTTGAGCTAGGTAAACTTTTTCTACGGTAAACCAGCATGCTACTGGTAGCGAGCACATGGACGAGGCATGGTAAAATGTTAAAGGGGTATCCTAGCCCAATGGACGTCGTCGATACCGCCAGTTTAGGATGATGCCAGGAAATCTACACCGACAGGCGGCAAGACGGAGCACACAGATCCCTCAGATGCCAAATTATGAAGAACCTAAGGGAAGACCGAAGGCTTTGGTGGACATCGAAAGCTCGGAAGATGGAGAAGGCTTTTGTTACCGGAAACGGCCACGTCCTATATAATCTGATACGACTGATTGGCCCTGGCAAAGCAACGGTCTGTAAAACGACCGAAGGCGGCTCATCATTTCACCCGCAAAAACATCGACTGGAAAGGTGGAGCGGTTTAGCTGGTATCCTGCAACACAGCTTCCGGAGATAGTGCATACCTCAATCGCCCGTCGGAAGAAAGAATGAAATACAAAATATTTGTACTGAAACGTAAGAAGGCACCAGGACCGGACGGTCTGTATCCAGCCATCTTCAAAAAGGGGCGGAGAATATCTGGTGACCCATCTAACAAAGCTCATTGCTGCTATGTGGAGTGAAGAGAAAGTGCCTTCCGAATAGGGCATGTCAACAGCTATCAAAAGGGGTACGGAGACACTGTGAAAACCCTCATGGCACTAGCCTGGTAGATGTGGCATCGAAGGTGCTCTCTGGTCTTATCCTTCGAAGGGGAGAGATCTGTGAACATCAAACTGGGTTCTGTTCTGCCTCGATAACATCTTCACCGTCGGACTGATTCTGGGACAGCAACACTGCTTCCAGCAACTAAAATGGTTGTTTTTTCCTTGAGGTGAAAGCTGCGTTTGACTCCGTGGACCGTCGGGTACTATGGTAATGTCTACGGAGCAAAGGTGTTGCCCCATAGATTTTTGGTCCTCCTTAAGGCTTTGTATACCAACTCCCGCGGACACGTGAAGGTCTAGGGGAAGCTTTCATCTGAGTTCACAACATCGATTGGTGTCAGGTAAGGTTGTCCTCCTCTCCACTTCAACTTCGTCATTGATACGGCTATGGAAGACCAACTACCAGCCACTAATGATTGTGGGGCCGAAATTCCCCAGAAACATTCGCTCACAGATATCAAGCACGCACACGATACAGCTCCTTTTGAACCGGACGCCCTGATTATGCACACAATATTATATAATCTAAGTTACTACTATCAGTTATTATTAATCTAAATCTAAAATAATCTAAATCATTCTACATCCTATATCACACTATACAGGTTGTGCTGACTTTGCCGCGTGCCCCTATAACAGTCGACCGACTTCCTCGAAGGGTTCTTTTCGCACAACCACGTGAAGGGTGAAAATGAGTCACGGGAGATCAAACAATAACTTGCCGGCGAAGTATGGAAGCCGTTACCAGCAAACTCAGCTGCGCTGGTCATTGCCGTCACTCTGGACGGGAAACTCGAGGCGGGCCACACCGGTGGTTAGAGACATGGCCCTGTTGCGCCCTCAATAACGTTCGTGTATCGAAGCTATTGTGTTTGATGAATGGGTCCCTTTCCAAGCACCCCTCTTAAAGGTTCGCTGACAGACCTTTATTTACGCACCAATTTACCAGCCCCATATCCAATGGGCAGCCACCTACTTTACCTCCCCAAATCATCGGTGAGCGAAATTGTGGCAGGTACAACCACTGTACGACAAGTACGCGGTTCTTACAGGTAACCATGATGATGACGATGATGATGAGGTTTGGGAAAACTGGTGGTATCTCGGCATAGTGCTTCCTTCTGGTGGGATGACAGCTAGGCACCGATAGGGTGCTATAAAGAAACGATTTTTCTGCCCATTCCTCGTAGGGACACAGCTTTGCACTACACTCACGCTCCTCTTCTTTGTGATTTACCAGGTCATTTAAGCAGTCATCCATCGTTGTTCGTGATACCACTACTACTGACATCACCGCTTTTCATAATAATGCTAGCAGTGGTGACGGTGTTATAAGACCTTTTGAATCAGCTGCACTTCGTCATGCCGCGGCGGCTTAATAGTCGATCGGGTAGTCCTCCTTGAAAGCGCGTACAGGATTGCAGTGATGCATGGCTCCTTAATTTTGTTCGCTCATGGTAGATGGACAGTGACGGGAACGCTACGTTACGATTTACTTGAGGCAGTGGTGGTTTCATTACCTAGTTAGGTCATGGTAGGAAAGGCTGCACACTGGAGGCACGTAATCAGACCATATTGAGCAGGACTTCAATGTGGACCGTCCCCGCGTTCTCACCTGGGGAGCTGGCAGGGAAAATTTGGAACAGTTGTCGGAAGTGCGTATGAGAACCAGGGACTCTGTGGTGTATGATGAGATATTGTTCATTGGTGTGATAGTAAAAATCGTTCAGCTGTAGCGCCCTTTCGGTGCCTAGCTGCCATGCCACCCGAAGGAAGCACGAGGGCTGGGATACTGTCAGGTTGCCCAAGCCTAGACAGGGGAAGTCGAGTGGCGGAGGTCGGGTTCGAACCACGGACCTTCCGGTCGGTAAATTCGCGCTCCAACCACTTGAGCCATCTCGCCCCCGTGTGATAGTAGAGACATTCGATGAATTAACAACATGCCTAAGAATTGTGGAACGGAACAGTCTGAGGTAACGTTTGGTGATCTTCGGACTAGATTCGTCAGTGTCTCAAAGTTAGGTAGGCCAATTGCCTCTGTGGGCATTGAAATAAACGAAGACACTGTTCAGAAGCGGAGTCGAAACATGGCATATGTGTGCAGATGCATTCCAGCTCCGAGGATAGTTCAGCTGTGCTATTGTCGTCGGATGATCGATTTGCACACCGAATATCCAATAAATTGCCGGAGGGAGTCATCGTCATTGACAGCAAGATACCAGTAATACACACTGGTGCTTAACTGCCATAGCTGGGGGGGGGGAATTAGGGGCAAAACTTTGGGGATATGGCGGGCAACAATTAAGGAACAGACAAAGGACTGTTCATAACATACGTTTAAGAAGAGGGTAGTGGTACAAAGAGCAGATATGACAGGTCGTTGTTCCCATAGTTTACCCGTAAGTCGGGAGAACAGGTCATCATCATCATCATCGACAGCATGACATCAGTCAGGGGTTGGCCAGCTCTCTGTTTACGCCACTCTGAATTGGGCATGGAACACAGCAATCTCTTCGGCAAACGATGGTTCTGCATCCGTAACACCAACATCCGTAACCAACCAACGCAGCTTCTGGTGCTGGACACATTCTTCAATGGAAGTACCCGTTACACAACTGCCTCACTACGGATTCACCGACACCAATTCACACGAACTGTTGTTCTGAGACAACGATTGTCGAACACCTGAAGACGTCTCAGTTCCGCTGCTCGAATAGGCCAAGTCTCACAGCTGTACAACAAGACAGCCCGTACTGTAGTCTGATACACACGTCCCTTCAGATTTAGGGATAAACGATTCTGACGCCATAGGTGTCTCAAGTTTGCAAACGCGGCCCGAGCCTTGCAGATTCGTGCATTCACCTCATCTGTCACACTACAGTCAGAATTAATACAACTTCCAAGATACATGAAACGCTCCACAACTTCCAGCCTTTTTCCCTGGATCGCAAGTGGCTCTCGAGTCAGTGTCTCCCGAGCCACCGTAAGGCGACGAAGCACAATTGACGCCAACAGTCTCGTTACAACCGGGGTCAAGCTGATCCCCCTGTGGTTACCACACTC